CTGAGCTGAGATCAAGAGTCAGATGTGTAACCAAGTGAGCCACCAGGTGCCCCTTGACTTGCATTTCTGTAGTGATTACTGATGTTGAGCATCTTCTCATGTGCTTATTGGTTGTTAACCTTCTTCAGAGAAATGCCTATTCAAGTTCTTTGTCCATTTTGGAATTGGATTGTTTTGTACTGTTGCAGAGTATAGGTATTCTCTATATAATTTTCATATTAATCCCTTGTGAGGCTGGTTCCATACCTTGACTGTTGTGACTAAGGCTGCATTGAACATGGTGGGGGGGCGGGTGCAGATATGTCTTCAAGATCCTAATTTCACTTCCTCTGGATATATACCCAGAAGTGAGATTGATGGATCATATGTTAGTTATACTTTTAATCTTTTGAGGAAACTCCTCACTGTTTTCATAATGGCTGAACCAATTTACAGTCCCACCAACAGTGCACATGGGTTGCCTTTCCTCCACATCTTCACCAACACGTGTCATCTCTTGTGTTATAAGAACAGCCATTCTAACAGGTGTCAAGTGACAGTTCATAGTGGTTTTGAAATGTGTTTGCAGTTTCCTGATGCTTAGTGATATGGAACACCTTTCCATGTACCTGTTGGCCATATGTATGTCTTCTTTGGGGGAAAAAATGTCTATTCAGGTCCTCTACTAATTTGTAATGGAATTATTTGGTTGTTTTTGTTTTTTGCTATTGAGCTGTATAGGTTCTTTATACAGCTTGGATATTAACCCTTTAGGAGATACAAGTTGGCAAATGTTTTCTCACATTCTATAGGTTGCCTTTTCATTTTGGTGATTGTTTCTTTTGCTGTGCAGAAGATTTTTAGTTTGATGCAGTCCCACTTATTTATTTTTGTTGTTGTTGTTGTTACTTGTGACTTTGGTGTCATATCAAAAAAAATCATGGGGCGCCTGGGTGGCGCAGTCGGTTAAGCGTCCAACTTCAGCCAGGTCACGATCTCGCGGTCCGTGAGTTCGAGCCCCGCGTCGGGCTCTGGGCTGATGGCTCAGAGCCTGGAGCCTGTTTCCGATTCTGTGTCTCCCTCTCTCTCTACCTCTCCCCCGTTCATGCTCTGTCTCTCTCTGTCGCAAAAATAAATAAACGTTGAAAAAAAAATTAAAAAAAAAATCATTGCCAAGACCAACGCCGAGGAGCCTTTTCCCTGTTTTAGTTTACAACTTTTATAATTTCAGGTCTATCTTCAAGCCTTTAATCCATTTTGAGTTAATTTTTGTGAATAGTCCGTGATGGGGGTCCAATCTCATTCTTTTCTGTGTGATTATCCAGTTTTCCCAACACTATCTGTTGAAGAGATTGCTCTTTCCCCATTGAGTATTCTTGGCTCCTTTGTCAAATATTACTTGAAAATTATTCATGGATTTCTGGTCTCTGCTGGTCCACTGGCTTATGTGTCTATGTTTATGCCAATACTCTACTGTTTTGATGAACATCATTTTGTATTGTAATGACGTTACAATATAGATTGAAATCAGGAAGTGTGATTCCTCCAATTCTTTCTCAGGAGTGCTTGGACTACTTATGGTCTTTTATGGTTCCATATAAATTTTAGGACTATTTTTCCTCTTTCTTTGAAAAATTCCACAGGAATTTTGATAGGGATTGCATTGAGTCTAGCCGATTTGGGTGGTGTGGACATTTTAATAATATTAATTCTTCCTGTCCACAAACATAAGATATCTTTCCGTTTATTTGTATCTTCTTTCATTTCCTTCATCAAAGTCATAGAGTTTTCAGTGTAGTGATCTTTCACCTCTTTGGTTAAATTTATTCTAAGTACTTTAATATTTCTATTGCTATTATAAAGGAAATTATTTTTGTCATTTCATTTTCTAACTATTTCATTGTTAGTGAACAGAGACAACTGATTTCTGTATGTTGATTTTGTATCCCACAACTTTACTGATTTGTTAATTAATTCTAACAGGTTTTTTTTTGTGGAGTCTTTAGGACTTTCAATATAAAATTATACCATCTACCAACAGAGACAATTTAGTTCTTTTATTTCTTTGTCTAGCACACCTGCTCTGGCTAAAACTTCCAGTGTTGTGTTGAATAAGAGTAGTGAGAGTAACCAACTTTTTCTCATTTCTGATCTTGGAGGAAAAGCTTTTAAACTTTGACCATTGAGTATGATTTTAGCTGCGGGCTTATCATATATGGTCTTTAGGTTAACACTCTGTCTAGATCAAGTTTGTTGAGAATTTTTATCATAAAATGATGTCATACATTGTCAAATGCTTTTTCTGCTTCTATTGACATGATTATACGATTTTTATCTTCCATTCACTTAAAGTGAGATATCACATTTGTTAACTGAATATGTTGTAACTATCCTTGTATCCTAGGGATAAATCCCACTTGTTCACGGTGTATGATCCCTTTAATGTGCAGCTGAATTCAGTTTCATTATATTTTATTGTGTATGCTTGCGTTTATATTCATCAGGGATAATGCTGTATAGTTTTCTTGTCCTGATCTAGCTTTGGTATCAGGGTAATGCTGGCTTTGTAAAATGACTTTGTGATTGTTCACCCTCTTCAATTTTTTGGAAAAGTTTGAGAAGAATTAAAATTAATTCTTCTTGAAATGTTTCTTTTAAATGTTGAGAAGAACTCACCAGATAGTCCTGGGCTTTTCTTTGTTGCAAAGTTCTGATTACTGAATCAATCTCCTTACAGGGTACTGAGTTGTTCAGGCTTATTTCTTCATGATTCAATCTAGGTAGGTAGGTTGCACATTTCAGGAATTTATCCATTTTTTTTCCTAGGTAATCCAATTGTTGGCATGTAATTGTTTATAGTACCCTCTTATGATCGTCTATATTTTTGTGGTTTTCAGTTAAAATGTCTACTCTTTTATTTCTAATTTTATTTGAGTCTTCTTTTTTCCACAGTATGCTAACTAAAAGTTTGTCAATTTTATGTTTTTGCAAACCTAGCTCCTAGTTTGATTGATCTTCTCTATTGTTTTCTAGTCTCTATTTCTGCTCTGCTATTTGTCAGTTCCTTTCTTCCATTAACTTTGGACTCAGATTGTTCTTTTTTTCAGTTCCTTGAAATGAAAAGTTAAATTGAGATTTTTCTTTTTTCTTAATGTAAGCGTCTATTACTATACATTTCCTGCTTAGAACTGCTTTTGCTGCATCCCATAAGGTTTAGTATGATGTGTTTCCATTTTTGTGTTTCAAGATATTTCCCTTTTGATTGATTCTTTGACCCATTGTTTGTTCATGAGTATGTTGTTTGATTTCCACATGTATATGAATTTTCTAATGTTCCTCCTGTTATTGATTTCTAGTTTTGAACCACTGTGATAGAAAAAGATATTTGCTATAATTTCAATCTTCTTAGATTTCCCAAGACTTGCTTTGTGACCTATCATATGATCTATCCATGTTCACTTGAGAAAAATATGTATTCACTGCTATTGGATAGTATGTTCTATACCTATGTCTTTCAGGTCTATTTGGTGTAAAGTATAGCTCAAGTCCAATGTTTCCTTATGATTTTCTGTCTGGGTGATCTATCTATTGTTGAATGTGGGTTATTAAAGTCCCCAACTATTATTGTGTTATTAGTTCTCCTTTCAGATCTGTATTTAATATATGTAGATGCTCCAGTGTTGGGTACACATACATTTGCAACTATTTTAGCCTTTTGATGAATTGACCCATTTATTATTTATAATGACCTTGTCTCTTGTAGTTTTTGGCTTAATGTCTATTTCATCTGCTGTAAGTGTAACTACACTTGCTTTCTTTTGGTTTCCACTTGCATTGAATATCTTTCTCCATACACTCACTTTCAGCCTATGTGTGTATTAAAACTGAACTGAGTCAAAACAAAACAAAACAAAACAAAACAAAACAAAACAAAACAAAACAGAGTCTCTGGGCACCTGGGTGGCTCAGTCACTTTAGCGGCCAACTTCAGCTCAGGTCATGATCTCACCATTCGTGGGTTTAAGCCCGTGTCAGGCTCTGCACTGACAGACAGCTCAGAGCCTGGAGCCTGCTTCATGGATTCTGTGTCTCCCCCTCTCTCTCTGCATTTGTGCCCGTTCCCTCAAAAATGAAATAAACATTTTAAAAACATTTTTAAATGGAGTCTCTTGTAGGCAATATATAGTTGAGTCTTCTTTTTTTAAAACCCATTCAGCCACTTTATGCCTTTTCAAAAATGGCTTTTTTTTTGGCAGTATCCCACATAGCTGGCGAAACTGGGTACTCATTCATATGCTTGCATTTTCCCTGAGGGAGAAACCATGGTCTGAGAAAGTCTCTCTTGGCACTGAATTGGGCTGCCCTAAGGGAGGGGTGACCTGGATGAAGTCAAACTGTTCCTCTATCTCTAATACATCTCTATTACAACTGCCCCAGTGGAGTTCTGGACCTGTCCAAGGACTTTCTGTCAGTGACTGCCTAGGTCAGTGTTCTGCAGAGGATCCTGGACCATGGCTGAGTGGAGCTTTATCAGTTCATGGGTTATCTGAGGGTCCACATTCAGGGCCAAGGTCTGCCTATTACCTGAGGCACAGGTGGGTGAGACTCCTCCTGGGTCCTTTGTCAGATGGTGCTGGGCCCCACGGCTCCTACAAATTCACTCTTTTCCATGGATTGAGGTCAAATTTTTCTTGTTGGAGGGCCACATGATGAGAAGGGTCATATTTGGCCATCTTGCTGACATCCCTCTCTCCAATTTTTTTTTTTATTGTGACTCACAGTAATACATTTTTCATTAGGACCAAATTCATATTTTATATATAATTGGACACGTTTCATGAAACAACGCTGACTCTTACTGTATGTAAGGTCCTCTGATATTTTCTATTCTACTGCTTCTCAAATTTTAATATGGTTAATCAGCTAGAGATTTTGTTAATATATGATTGTGATTCAATATTTTGGGAGAGGCTACATTTTAACTAACGCCGACATGGATGTTTCTGTTACTCAGACACACCTTGAGTAGCAAAATTCTATTTAATTTTATTTAAATGTGAAATTACTTTTAAGACTCTTGGGTGTATCCAGACTGTTTTTAAAAGCACTGCTGGCACACTTCCTGGTGTAATACTATGTTTGCAGAAGCTCCTGAAAGAAAAACAGATATATTTGGGATATTCTTGTAAAAGTAGACTTCCTGTGGAATGGAATCATGCTTGGGAGCAGTTCAACAGAAAACCAGCTCGTCTTTCATATACCAAGATCAGAAAATGAGAGAAGTAAAGACAGGGATACCCTTCTGACATTACTTTTTAAATTCTCACGTTTGGCCCAATAAACACATCCATTCCAGGTTGGAATAAATCAATGCCATGGGCGCAATGAGGACTCTCATCACTGTGTACAAAGGCAAAGTTACAGAAGATGATCACAAGTGACTGTGGCAATGATATGAGTATTTTTTCTTTAACCCAGCATCTCCTGTGGTGTGGTCTCCAATATGAATGCCTGCTGTGTCAGTCAAGGTTCTTGTCCTCAAGCAGTAAGAGTCAACTCTGACTAACCTAATAAAACGAAACTGGGGGAGACCATTAAGGGATTCCAAAACAGATGGGAAACTGTGAGACCAAATGTCAGAGGCCTGTGCAACTAAAGCCCCGGCAGGGCCTCTTGAAGAGCCCAGCCTTGCATTGCATGTCAGCAGCATCCAGATATCCCCTCTTCAGCCAGGATTGGCCACCCGATGCGGAACACCACAGCAGCAGCTAAGTAGAGTATGTCGGTCCTTCTCATTCCTCCTCTGGGACCCCAACACTCTAGAAGAGATAGAAAGATGGACCCTAAAGATGAAGGAAGGGGAAGCAGAGGAGGGAAAACAAAGCACACCCAACTCCCCAAGGCAGGGCCATGTGCACTACTGGTCAAATCTGGGCATGGTGAGGGGAAGAGCATCACAATGGATGTGATATTCAAAATTTAAACTGGAATACTTTAGCCTCAACATTTTAAAACCTGAAAATTTTCTGGGATGCTACAAGAGCTACCCAAGATGTTGTGTAGGGGCAGAAAACACTTCTTCATCAAAACATACCTGAAAACGGGGGCACCTGGGTAGCTCAGTCGGTTAAGTGTCAGACTTCAGCTCAGGTCATGATCTCCCAGTTCATGGGTTCAAGCCCCACATCAGGCTCTGTCCTGACATCTCAGAGACTGGAGCCTGCTTCACATTCTGCATCTCCCTCTCTCTCTCTCTCTCTCTCTCTCTCTCTCTCTCTCTCTGCCCCTCCCGTGGCTGTACTATCCCTCCCTCCCTCTCTCTCTCTCAAAAACAAACATTAAAAAATAGAAAATTACTGCAAACGACGTTGGAAAAATAAAAGGGTTTCATGTTCCCTTTTAGTGTCCCACTGAGTCTAGAACCTCCAATAAACTGGTTGCACAGCAAAAGAAACGGACGTTGAGGAGTTTAAGTGGAAAGGAAATTCACTGAGAAGCCACTGGGTGCTCAGTGAAACACTAGGAAGGCTGGAGGGAAAAGTCGGGAGGGGATGCAGGCACAGAGTGAAAAATCACACTGGGGAACTGGTCTAGGGACGCCCTGCCCCACCAGTGGATAGCAGATGCTGGAGATCTCATCACCAACACCTCCAGCCCTAGATCCTGACTGAGGCAACGACCACTCCCCAGAATGGGATGTGGCTGCCTCCCCTGTGCTACAGAAAGAATTCTCCATTGTCCCACTTCCTAAATCCAAGTTCAGGGCCCATGCACCTCATTGGCTGAGCCTAAGTCACATGTCCAAGGCCCAGGTGCAAAAGAGTCTGAAGAAGTAAGTGTTCCTTTGTGTTTCTATCCTGAAGGGAAGTGTCTTCCTCTAATCAAGTCTCCTAAGCAGAATTACTATCAGCAGCTATGGTGCTTTGTGGCCATTGTCGAGCTTTGGGGGCAGAACATGCTGGAGTTTTCACTCCATTTGACCACTCTGCTGGAGTATTCCTATAGAGTACACATTGCACAGGTGTATTCAGTAGTCCTGCTGTTAAGGTAAATGTTTAATCAAATTCAGAAAGGGGATGCAGCAGAGATGACAGACACATACTAAAGAAAGATATCCAGCTTAGAGAGGAATATGTTCACAGATGACATCCACGTAGCCTGGTGGAGAACAGTGGAGAAATGCTCTCATGAATCCAAGGCAAGTGAACAAAAGCTAGGCAACAAGTGGACTTCGCAGAGTCATTACTTACCGTGAACCTGAATCACCATCACTAGGAGAGTCTCTCTTCACCATGTATGGAGTTTGGCTTCCAATGATTGGAAACACAAAGTGATACTGACCCAGGGTGGGCATATCTGAATCATCATGCAGAATTATTTGGATCCATTTAAAATTAAAATCAGTATAGCATGTTTAGATTCACATAAACTCCCCTCCCGGTTCATGAAATAACCTCATGCTTAACAAACAAGGAGAAGACGTATGGAAAAAAAGTGATATATTTTCATGTTAAAACAAATAATCATTTGTTCACAATTATAATAATTTAATTATTTGTGAAAGAAAAGGTATGTATTATTTCAATATTGTATAATAATCTATATAAAAACTTTTTTGCCCAATACACATTATGAACTTAAAAGTAAACACTTGTAAGTTATTTCCTGTTTTTATTCCGAAAATAGTAGAAATAGTAAAGGCAAGCAAACTGAGCAGATCATTCCATATTGATTAATCAGGAAACGGGGGAGTAGATTTGATTCAATAAAACCCTCCTGCATTAGATCAATTCCATGTGCACATATTACACAGTGAGTGCTTCTGGGTTCGTAGATTTTACAGCTACTACATCTGGACTGTATTTCTACAGTGGAGTCATGGATTGAAAGTCTATTTGGAGACACTTGAAGACAGAATAGAAAGAGGTATTTGACAGAGTATTGACAGCTTTTTCAAATTTGTTCCACATTGCAACAGAAAAAATGAGACAGTAATTATTTTTTGTTTTAAGTTTTTAAAGTAATCTCTGCACCCAGTGTGGGGCTTGAACTCACAACCCTGCGATCAAGAGTCACATATTCCACCAACTCAGCCAGCCAAGCCCCTGTGAGACGATAATTACTACGTGATGTAGGATCAAAGAAGGGTTTTCATAGGCGAACGGTATTACTGGTTTTGTATCTTGTTGGGAATGACCCAGTGGAGGGCCAGTGTGGGTGAGAAAGTGGCTTCCTGTCACTTAAACACTGCCTCTGGGAGTTCCTGGCTATTTTAGCCACCATCCATCCTCAGAACTCTTCATCTCGCAAAAGTGAGACTCTGTACCCATTAAACATTAACTCCCAATTTCCCTTTCCCATAGCCTCTGGCAACCATCATTCTATTTTTTGTCTCTATGAATGTAACCACTCTAGATACATAAGTGGAATCATACAGTATTTGCCTTTTTGTGACTGATGTATTTCGCTTAGCATAATGTCCTCAAGGTTCATCCATATTGCAATATATGTCAGAATTTCCTTCCTTTTTAAGGCTGAATGGTATAGAAACATATATACCACACTTTGTTAACCATTCATCTGTGGATGGAAACTTGGGTTGCTTCCACATTGCAGCTCTTGTAAATAAGGCTACTATGAGCATAGGTTTAGGCATATTTTTTAGAGACTCTGCTTCCAATTATTCGGGATAAACACTCAAAGTGACATTGCTGGATCACACGGTAATTCTATCTTTAATTTTCCTAAGAATCGCCACACTGTTTTCCGTGTGACTGCGCCATTTTACAGACCCACCAAGAGTCCAGAAGGGTTCCAACATCTCCACATCCTGCTGACACTTGCTATTCCCCCCACCACCACCTATCTATTTTTCTGAGAGTAGCTATTCTATAGGAGTGAGGTGGTATGGCACTGTGGTATTGGTTTGGATTTTTTGATGTCGGACATCTCTTCATGTGCTGTTGGTAATTCCTTTCCTCTTTGGAGAAATGTCCACTCAAGTTCTTCACCCTTTCTTAAAAAATTGGGTTATTCTTGTCAAGTTGTAGAAAGGAGTTCTTTACATACTCTGCCGTCCTCTTGTTCGCTCCACTCCAGACAGATTGGTCTCTTGGTATTATTCCCGCTTAGGTCCCTCCCTGGAACGTGTGGCTGGCTGTTTCGTTTCCTTCATTTCCAACTCCAAGTATGACTTCTCAGTGTAGCTTCCTAGCAAACATCGCACCACATCCCTGCTCCCCCAGCACAACCAATCCCCTTTTAAAAGCTCCACATGTTTTCATATTGCTTTCTACCTTCTAATGTGCTAATTTACTTACTCATTATGTTCACTGTTTGGTATCTGTCTTCTCCCCACTACAATATGAGCATTGCAAGTAAAGGGCTATCCGTTTTATTAATGTATCTCAAGCACCAATTGACATCCTTGCGCCTACTAAATGCCTCAAAAATAGTGGATACAGTTTAAACGTAAGTCTTATAAGTCACGGGATTTTTATTTTCCACTGGGAACTTATCTTTTTTAAGTGGAAAATTATTTTTAAGGCCAGTGAATTCTCAATGTGCATTTATTTTTATTGTATTTTTATTTGAGAGACAGACAGACAGACAGACAGCACATGGGCGGGGGACATGGGGGACATGGGGGACAGGAAGAGATACAGAGAATCTCAAGCAGGCTCCACACTCAGCATGGAGCCCCACAGGGCACTCGATCCCATGACCGTGAAAACATGACCTGAGCTGAGATCAAGAGTCAGACTTGCAGCTGACTGAGCCACCCAAGACACACCAGAGTGTGAATTTCTTTCATTCGCTTAACACATTTGCCCAAACCACAGAGACGCACAAATATGGCTCTCAGTAGATTCTGTCTTATCTCTCAGATTATAATAACTATCTCATTTTGCAATAAAAGGGGGAGGAGATGAATATAAAGAATTAATTAATCAAAGTCTTAACTTTTCTGAAAACCCAGGGAATTTTTATCAACCTCCTTTGTTACTTATCTAACATTCCTCTCTAGAATATTAATATCATAGCCTGAGATTTACAGCTTTCCATGGCCATGATGTATTCACACGGCAGAAGAGCAAACGCCCCCCAAAAGAGTCTTTCCTTAAACTTCATGTGTGTGAATTCACATTCAGGAATATCATTCACATTCAATCAGAAGACTGTTTTATTAAAATGCACCATCTTACAGCCTTTTTCATACTACATTAAGAGGATAGATATGTTTAATTTTTTTTTTCAACGTTTATTTATTTTTGGGACAGAGAGAGACAGAGCATGAACGGGGGAGGGGCAGAGAGAGAGGGAGACACAGAATCAGAAACAGGCTTCAGGCTCTGAGCCATCAGCCCAGAGCCCGACGCGGGGCTCAAACTCACGGACCGCAAGATCGTGACCTGGCTGAAGTCGGACGCTTAACCAACTGCGCCACCCAGGCGCCCTGAGGATAGTTATGTTTATACAACATATTGGGATAAACAAGGGAATTGGAGCCCTTTGCAAGGCTTCTCTGGTTTTGCAGCCTGCTCAGCCACTGCGAGCCACCCCAAGGGCTGTGGTTCTTGCACCGGGGGGAGAAGCTACTAGGTTACATGATGTCATAGGAAGTAAGCTCTTACCAACCGTGGGTGAAGCCAATCCTCTATGACAAACATGGGTTACAACTGCAAATTGTTTCCTTCAAAAAACACTCTAACAGTCTACTACAGAATAGAAGGCTGAGAAGTCGATTTCTCGGATACCCTAACCAGCAAAGTTCTGAATACATTTTTAGGTTCCTTCTTACAGAGAAACATACATAATA